TACATCACGAAGAGAGTATTCAACGTAGACTGGGAGATTTACTCAAACATTAAACCATAGCAGAGCTGACAATAAACCATCTTAACATTTCACAAGTTTTATTTTAGCCTTCTTTTTATTTTAATGCAGTCTGTTAATTATATTTGCCTCTAATCTCTCTCCTTTAGTCCAAGCGGTGAGATATGGGACTCCTGATTCTGTTGTGTGTCTGCTTTTGTTGGGATAAGATCTCCTGGTTTTGTCTCCTGTCTGTTCTCATCACCTTCACAGCTTAAACCAGAAGTCACCTCTTCAACAGTTCTCTCTCTCTCTCTCTCTCAATTCATCTTCACTTCTATCAGCAGTCTCGTCTTCTGCCAACTGCTTAGTTATGAAATAATTATCCTTAAATCAAATGTTACAGATGTTGATGAAAATACTGATAGTTTCTATGTGGGATTATCTGCCATAGGGGAATATATTGCCACATAATTTTTCCACAATTCTATCTTTATAAACTGAATAGTCGTTGATTTGTCAGGTCAGTGCTTTGCTGAAATCATTCCTCACATTCTGCAACTTTTTTACCAAATGATGTTCTTTTTCCTGATCTGAATCTCTGTGCTTTTCTTCATATCATACACCTGATTTTCTCATGTCTGTACTGTTTTTATGTCTGTCCTCCTCCCTCTCTGTGTATTGATACTGTTCTGTGATAGCCGGCCCGCTCGCGCCCCCTCCCCCCTCCATGCAGATCACCCCTCAGCTGCCTCTGATGGGCTTTGTGGCCCGAGTTCAGGAGACTAGTAAGTGGCTTTAAGCCTCCTCGTCCCCGTCCTGCATGACAGTCATTCGTTTGAAGTCCTTTTCCCAACAGTTTCAGTAAACGTCTTCCTTTAGGTGGAATATTGTGATCAACCTCCAACATTAGCTCATTCAGGGATCTGCTGCCTCAACGTTTAAATTAAACTATCATAACATAGCCTCAAAGTTTCTCAGCCTGTGGCTCGGGACATTTGCTTTCTTCTTGTTAATGTCAACAAACCAGAAATCAGTTAGTGCCCATGTTCAGATTTCGTGACATTTGACGGCAAATGTTGTTGGTTGATACTCATACAGTTGAAACAACGTGTAAAGCATGATTTGAATGATGATGCATGTTTGTGAGATTATTCATGAGCATGATCATATTTAAATGTGTTTTTTGTTTGTGTGACCTCATCCTGAATTATTTCAAAAATCCCCCAAACCAAGTTTGTTAAATACAACATTTTCTTTCCTGTTTTGTTGTAAGTTTGTTTTCTTGCTCCCAGCATGGACTCTTTATTTCTCTCTTTCTTTTTCTAAAGCATGAGATTGCAGCACGTCTGTGTCCCTCTTGAAGAGCGCAGTCATCTTCGTCTTCCTTGCCTCTGATTGGTTCTCTTATCTACCTGTCTGCTTAAAATCTACTTCCAGTCTCAGACGTGCCACCTCCGCCTCCACCTGCAGAGGAGCCGGTGTTTGAAGAGCCCACACCTCCCCCTCCACCGCCAGAGGACTACGAGGACGATGAAGATGAAGAAGAGTCGGCGGTGGTGGAGTACAGTGACCCATATGCCGAGGAGGATCCGCCCTGGGCCCCACGTACCTACCTAGAGAAAGGTCTGTTTTGTTTTTTTATCTTAATAACTCTTCTGGATTTAAAATACTGCTCTTTGGGTTTGTACCATTTGAAGTTTCACAGCATGAGTTTGTGAAGACATCTATTGTTGAGCTGCTTTTTATTTTTAAGGAAGCCTTTCCTAGTGAACAAGGACTGTGGTATGTTGAGATAGTGTAGAAGATAACATCAATATTTAAGACAAGGAGATGTAGAGTTCTTTGAATGAAATCTGCCTGATGACACGCAGCAAAGTTCAAAGGGTTTGAGGTGACCGGGCGCTGCTGCATTGAGGACTTTGCCTCTGTATGAAGTGCGCCTACTCTACAAACTGAGCTAAACATGAGGACCACAGTAAGTTTTATTCAAAGTACTAAGAAGGCAAGTGACTTCTCCCTCTTAATCTCCCCTACAGTGGTGGCAATCTACGACTACAGCCGAGACAAAGAGGATGAACTCTCATTCCAGGAGGGCGCCATCATCTACGTGATCAAGAAGAACGATGACGGCTGGTACGAGGGCGTGATGAACGGGACCACGGGCCTCTTCCCCGGCAACTACGTCGAGTCCATCATGCACTACGCCGACTGAACAATCCCCAACATCGGAGCAGATGAAGGGCAGGAGGAAGAGTTGTTGGATTAGGGAAGGGGAAAAAGGGGAGGGAGGGGAGCCAAGGGTTAACGGTCAAAGACTTTGATCAGACAGAGCATGATCACCTCCGTGCGAAGAACGAAAAGAGACGGGGGGGGAAGAAGTTTTTAAAGAAGTTGCAACATGACAAACTGAAGCCCGGTCACTCTCTCGACATAGACGCCATTGTAAAACAACCACTACTCTAGATATATCCTTCCCTGTAATATTTTTTTCTTTGATTCCTTATTTGACTGACCGGAGAGGACGGTGATGGATTTATTGTATTTTCAGAGTTTGTGTTACATTATAAGAGGTCACTACATTGATTTTTGCTTTACTTTTTCTTATGTTTTACCAATTTGCCCTTATTTTAAAGTATATTTATTTAGATTTTTGTAGTGGAAGAAATGGTGAAGAGGAAGATTTGGGCTGCTGAGTTGGGATTTCCGCTACGCGGCCTCGGAGAAAGGGCTGGAGGGGAATGCCTTCAATGTGTAGATTTTCTCCATAACACTCCAGAGACTTTTTAGAGAATTAACTCCTCTATATTTACAGTATAATGCAACAACAATATCCTCGGTGGGGGGAACAAACAGTAGTTTCCGTATGTACGAAAATATTTGTTAGGTACCTCAGCAGGGAGCGTGCCAAAGCTACATTCACTTAGATAAAAAAGCACATGACATGTCTAAAAGGTGACACAGGAAGGGAGTTAAAGTAGGTCTGAAAAGACGTCTAAACAGAGAGTGCTTTAAACACTGATTTTTGCATCTTTTTTTTTTAATTAAGTTTAGTTCAAGCCACAGAAACCCAAAGGAGCAAATTTAGTATCTCCATGCTTCACTTTTTCTGCGCGTTTTCCAGTGAAGGAATCGTCATCCGGCCCTCGATTAAAGAGGAAAACAGGATCCACAGTTGCACAATAACCGGGATTTTGAAGTCTGCAGCTCCTCTCATGAATATAGAAGTGTATTAGCTTGAGTGCTAATCATTTGAAGTGTTCATAGAATGCATTTGAGACAGTTCTTTATTTTTCTGTTTCACCAACGGGTCCAGAATCGAGTTTTTGCTTGCAGAGCAGCATGTTTGGAAGAGGGAAAAATCTTCTTTTCTGCTCTACTGATGATTAATGTCTTAATAATTTTAGATATGTTGTGGTTTGGTTTTTAATATTCACCCACAACGACGATCACTACGATGCATTTAGGTCATAACTAAGACGCTTGTGCCATATTGAAGTGCGTGTTGCTGTTCAGAGGTTCTCACTTCATTTGCAATAAATCGACCGGAGTGGAGTGTCGTTGAACTACAGAAACGTTTCTTTTCAAAGTTAATCCCAGAGTTGTTTTAAATCAAAAGCACATACATTTGTCGTAAAAAGGTGTAGAAGAAGAAATAATATAAATGTGAGATGTGTTATGTCCTCAAAGCAGGACTTATTGAATATGAAAAGAAGCCAGCTGTTGTGTTGAAATGGTTTTAACCGTCGCAAGCCCCGATACTTCTCAACGCCGTCGGTGTAGGCATCGTTCATCCTCCGTAAAGTTTCCGATGCGCTTGGCTGTTGGGTGTTTACGAGGGCTCAGTGCTTGTACTTATGTCAGAATCTTTATTTTCTATTAAAAAAAAGAAAAGAAATAATAACAAGTGGGTCTGTATGTGAGTCTTGCATGCCATTGTTCTTATCTGTACTGGTGTCCCAAAAAACCTTAAGTGGCCAGATCACCCATCCTTAAAAAGACAAGCAGCCCTTCAGCTCCGACCAGGAACCACCAGCCTCATCCAAAGAGACTGTAACTGTCCGAGGAGCCACGCTCTGACCTGAGGGGGAGGGAGGGAAGGGAGGGAGGGACCCGGCTTTCTCCCCCTCTGACTGTAGCCGCCTGTTACGTCCGTGTTGAAAAACCCATGTCTAAGCTGCTATTGAATCCTGCGGACAAAGAAACGCCCCCGAGGTGAACGATGATAAATGTAACACTCAAGATTAAAGCTCGTTTCATAACACTCCTTATATGACACTTTAAAAAAGATCAAATAAAAGCCCTCGGTCTGCAGGATTCACAGCTCCCTGGAGTCACAGACGTCCCTTGGGATGTTGAGTTTAACAGTCCATGATGCCATTGTGTTGCACAGTTAAAGTTGAATTGCAGAAGTATCATATTTGTAAAATCATGAGAACAAAGACAATAAAATTATTAAGATTTATGGGTGCAATAATGCTTGGTTCTTGTGTTATGAAACCATGAGAAGGTTCTGTTTTGGGGAATTTAGCCTTGAATAGAAAGGTCATCTGTCATTGCTTAAAAGAAGAATTTGTCCATTGTGGACCTTTTCAGCTTCCTTAGAGATACTCATTTAAGAGTGTCTTACTATGTTGAGAGTAATTAATCAGTATTTATTTCGAGAGTTTCTTTTATTTTAAAGTCATTTTATGTTTTTAATTATTTAGATGGGGATTGAGATATAAGGTCTTTATTTTTAGTGAGCCTTTCATTATTTGGGAAACAAAGTTTTGATTTTTGGAAACAATTTGTAGCCTATAATACTACAGATAATTGAGAGACCATAAATGAATTACCACCATGTAAAGGTGGAGGAACCTTGAAATGTAATTCAATAATTCAAATTTAATTCAAAATATTATTATTATGGATAAATAAGATTGTTTAAGCTTCTTTTTTTTTCAACAACAAAAAAAGCCAAGCAATGACATCATCATTAGACGTGATGGGTGTCCTTGGGTGTATCCGGAAAGGGTTGAAACTTAGTTTCGTTTTCTAACAGGCACTCTTGGGTTGAACGCTTGGGTTGGACGTCGTCGCTTCTTCGTGGTTTAGATACTATTTGTGAAATTAAAAGTTGTAAGATACTCAAAACATTCAATATTAGCGTTGACGCGACTTATTATTCTGTTTTAATTACCTGAAGAGAAGATGCAACAACTGCACGTGTTGGTTTTTTCTCTCTTCCTGTTTTGGATTTCGCACCCAGTCAACGCGCGTGAGTTTAAATTACTTTATATGTCGTTTTTTTACGATTTTGAATCTATATTTCAAATCTATATTGCAATCTTTAATAGTTATGTACAGTCAGAAATGAATAGGCAACCTTGTTATTTACTTATTTACGCATACAACACTTAATTTAAACTGCGTCACTACGCGACCATCCAAACACGTCTTGTTTCATTCAAATATATGTACAGCAGTAAAAGGTTAGCTATAATAGTATGAAGTTATTTCAAAAAGTTATTAATCATGTAAACCTCAAGGGAAGTACTTGAATATGTATTTAGAAAGATTCCAGCACTAAATGTTGATACCATTTTGGTTTTAGTCTATTGCGTAATAATAGTGTTGTATATTTCAGGATCAGGACAGAAAATTGGATTGGTATAAGACAGAACAGAATATAAAAGACATTGAAACGTGTAATTTAAAGATAACTTGTGTTTGACGTTGTCTTTTTTTGTTTTGCAGTTGAAACAGTGTATGGTGCAGAAGGTGATGACATTGTCCTCACGCCACCTCTTCAGTCTCCGTCTCCTTCCATCACAAGCATTCAGTGGATACATGGAGAGGACATCGTTGCAGAGTGGTATCAAGGGCATGGAACTGAGACAAATTGTTTTACCAAGTTCAAAGGTAATTTCACTTACACTAAATAAGTTTATCTACACCTGAAAACACAACAAGAACCTTATCCAAGTGAAGGTTTTTAGGTTTGTTTTGTTTGAAGTATTATAATTAGACCCCTACTTTGTGCTGAATGAATGGATGACATTCTATAAAGGCTTTCATGGGCAGACCATTAGAATAAGAGGGGAGATGCATCCATTTAAGTCCATTTTTTAAGTCCAGGTGCTGCTTCATTTGTTTCCACTTATCACTGGTGTACATTCATTATTTTTCAAATTATTTTTACTCAGCATGTTTAGCGACCCTAAAGTTTAGTTTTATTTAATGGTTTGATGATTATAGGTCGCTGCAAGCTGAATCTTTTGACCGGGGCGCTGACAATCACAGGACTGACTAAAACCGACATGTAACACTGAGATGACCGCCTGTAATCTGACCTGTGAAGGCAACACGATAGAATCAGAACCGTCGACTGTAAGTGGCTTCTAGATGAAGCAGAGGGACCTTCAGGCAAGGTGTTGACCATAACAAAGGTATGAAAAACCAACAACACTCCAGTCAGCCTGAGCCGATGAGTGGATCACTCCAAATCCATCATTCATGACCTTTTTTTAACTATTCAGTTTTATTCCTGAAAATCTGTGTTCATGATTATCTTTCACTCAATTTCTAGGAGATGAAGGAGCAGAGTTACCGTTGTGTATTTGTCAACCCAGTCGACAACAAAACCAGTGATATCATGACAAACCCTTACTCAAAGGTGAGCTGCCACCAACAAATATCAACCTCATTTACACCTTTTATATGGTTTTATAGCTTTTTTAAACATCACTCTGCATTATCTAACAGCATACACATACATTTCATGTTTTATTTATTCATTCTTCTTTTTTTAGCAGAAAATGTCCACTTGGTAAGAAACCGTTGGCTAACAGCAGCAGGGCAGTAGGGGTTCTTGGGTTAATTGGGTTGCAGCATATCTCATCTACAAACGCAGAACTGGTAAGAAGCCAAGATATTGTGTGTATTTCAAATATTTTCAGTAATGTTGTATTTCTCTCGTCAGTTATGTGACATCCGTCTTTATTTAAGGAGTTCCAGTGGATTCTTTCTGCTTTCACTTCATAAAATAGGCGGGAAAACGCTTAACAAACATCTTTAGTAATGAATAATGATGGATTTATATTTGTTTATCTTGAATACAGGAACAGAGATAACCAACAAGATATTCAATCTGTTATCCACATGAATCATTTTATTTTCTTCTCAGCTGTGCTCTGTGAAATATAAATATATATATATATCACATACAAACATAGTAGCAGTATACCAGTCTGTGAAGACAGTCGGAATGAGATTTGATCCAATACATGAGGAGATACAAGAAATAAGTCAAGACGAGTCGACAGTGACACAAAATTCAAAGTCTCCTTTTTAGATCTTTTTATTCTTAGCTTTAAAAAAACATCATTTATACATCATTGTAAAATGCAGATGAACTATTTGTGGTTATTAACTGTGAACTAGGTGATGGTGTTACTACAATACTTTTGACTTGTAACAGGATTTCTTTGATGAATTGTTTGAACAGAAGTAAAGTGATATCATGTTCAATGATTCCTTTGTGTTTTATTTGATAGGTTCATATAAATCGTACCACCAAGGAAGAAGACAACAACGTTAGGTGAGTCAAATGTGAAAGATATTAAAAACTGTGACAGTCGGATCTTTGAACATTTCTACTACTACAACCTGCATTTTGTGAGAGATGTTTTCTTACATTTATTTTGTATTTGTTGTTTCAGAGGTCCATGTACCACCAACCACTCAGGACTCAGATTCTCTCTGCAATGGATCTGGTGTGTAAACGTTGTTTAACAAAATGTATAAGGTTTTAAAACTGTTGTAGAAAGAGACGCATAGGAACAGAAAAGCTTTGTTTATCCTTTAAACTAGAGCTTTGAACTAGAGCTTTCTGTCACGGAGAAATTGTCTTTATCATTTATTTTATTTAAATTGTTTTCAACAGTGATCCCAGAGGAGCAAAGGGCATCCAACGAGCCTTCAGATTCTATTCCGCTCCAAAGTATCTGCAATGGAGCTGGTGAGTGAAATAATACTATAAAGATAAAGATAAACTTTATTGATCCCCCGTGGGGGAAATTTGTGCATTACAGCAGCTCCAGAAAACAGGGGATGGGAATATACTTATAAAAAATAAAAATAGAAGTTAAAAACAGATCAAACATATTTACATCATTTAAATAAAAAAATACAATAATAAAGAATACAATAATGTACTATAGATAATACTGAATATAAGAACAGTACCTCAGTATATAGTTCAGGTACCTGAACTCTAGTATTTCCTCTAGAGGTTCTTGGGGTTGCAGCATATCTCATTGACAAACGCAGAACTGGTAAGAAGCCAGATTATATTGTGTGTATTTCAAATATTTTCAGTAATGTTGTATTTCTCTCGTCAGTTATGTGACATCCGTCTTTATTTAAGGAGTTCCAGTGGATTCTTTCTGCTTTCACTTCATAAAATAGGCGGGAAAACGCTTAACAAACATCTTTAGTAATGAATAATGATGGATTTATATTTGTTTATCTTGAATACAGGAACAGAGATAACCAACAAGATATTCAATCTGTTATCCACATGAATCATTTTATTTTCTTCTCAGCTGTGCTCTGTGAAATATAAATATATATATATATCACATACAAACATAGTAGCAGTATACCAGTCTGTGAAGACAGTCGGAATGAGATTTGATCCAATACATGAGGAGATACAAGAAATAAGTCCAAGACGAGTCGACAGTGACACAAAATTCAAAGTCTCCTTTTTAGATCTTTTTATTCTTAGCTTTAAAAAAACATCATTTATACATCATTGTAAAATGCAGATGAACTATTTGTGGTTATTAACTGGTGAACTAGGTGATGGTGTTACTACAATACTTTTGACTTATAACAGGATTTCTTTGATGAATTGTTTGAACAGAAGTAAAGTGATATCATGTTCAATGATTCCTTTGTGTTTTATTTGATAGGTTCATATAAATCCGTACCCACCAAGGAAGAAGACAACAACGTTATAGGTGAGTCAAATGTGAAAGATATTAAAAACTGTGACAGTCGGATCTTTGAACATTTCTACTACTACAACCTGCATTTTGTGAGAGATGTTTTCTTACATTTATTTTGTATTTGTTGTTTCAGAGGTCCATGTACCACCAACCACTCAGGACTCAGATTCTCTCTGCAATGGATCTGGTGTGTAAACGTTGTTTAACAAAATGTATAAGGTTTTAAAACTGTTGTAGAAAGAGACGCATAGGAACAGAAAAGCTTTGTTTATCCTTTAAACTAGAGCTTTGAACTAGAGCTTTCTGTCACAGAGAAATTGTCTTTATCATTTATTTTATTTAAATTGTTTTTAACAGTGATCCCAGAGGAGCAAAGGGCATCCAACGAGCCTTCAGATTCTATTCCGCTCCAAAGTATCTGCAATGGAGCTGGTGAGTGAAATAATACTATAGATAATACTGAATATAAGAACAGTACCTCAGTATATATTTCAGGTACCTGAACTCTAGTATTTCCTCTAGAGCTACAGTTACTCCTCACACGTATTTGATTGTTGTCTCAACTCAAAGGAAAGGCATCAGAGATTTCATCCAACAATGACCTGACGACTTCTACATCCCCAGAGGCCGGCAAGGAAGCTGGTGAGATAAATCACATCTAATAGGATAAAACACTGTCTTGATATTGTATCCATATAAAATGAACATGTTTTATGTTGTATCAGATATCACATCGGAGATGGGTCCAGAATCCCCCCAGGATTCAATCACTCCAGAGACCGGCAAGGAAACTGGTGTGTTAAACTGTATTTTAACTTATAGGATCAAACGAGTCAAACCATTTCTCCCTTAAAATTCAAATACTTCTATGTATCAATGAACAGAGATCACATCTGATGTGGTTGAGAAGTCTGACGAGAACTCAACGACTCCTGCTTCCCCGCCAGCAGCCAGGAAACAGGCGAGTCCAATTTAAACACACTCCATGTCCGATCAACATACTATTTTTTTCTTACTCTTATCTTAGGGTATATTTTAAGATTATGTTTGTATTTATATCAAATGTGTTCCCCACTTAATTAATTTAGTTTTTGCAACAACAACTTGATTCCATTTTTATAGGACTTCAGCACAGAAACAGCATCAGCAGCTTTACATTCACATTTTTCAAAATGAAGCCAAGAGCAAGGTGTATTTACTCTTGCACACACAGCAAATTTATGAACAAATGAAAAATAACATACATTTTTAGTATTATAATATATAATTATGTGTAATTATAATAATTACTTGGGCGGCCCGCCTAAGTCTGTCTTCATCTTGCTTATAATAGTTGTAAATACATAGTACTTTTATCTTTATTTGTATTTATTCCTATATATTTTTATTTTCCTGTTGTCTTTTACTGCTGCAGCACTTGAATTTCCCCACTGGATCAATAAAGGATTATATTATCTTATCATGTATGTGTAGGAAACACTGAGTTTAACACTATGTCGTACATAACCCCTAAAATAAGCTTTATTTGATCTATAATCAATAAAATAGAATAAAAACAACCTGTGTCTCTATCATCTGATAATCCTACGTTACAGTATTATTTGTCTGTTTGTATTTACATACATCACTAGAAAGCTGGATTTATTTAACAGCTGTGTTGGAGTCCCATGTTGGATACATTTGGCACATTTAAATAAGAACTAACTAACATCGGGCATTTAGGTTTTTATTTGGTGTGATCTCTATTTAGTTTAAAGCACAAACGAGAGATGTATGAAAAGAGAAAGAGACCAGTGTTTACTGCATCTGTTCAGTTTTTTTATTGAGGTTAGAAGAAAAAAATCAGACTGTTCTGCCTTTAGATGTGATTTTTTTTTTTTTCATCCTTTGACAGGTGACCTGGCAACGAAGCCACCCGACCAAGAACAAACCAACCAAGAGCCACCAGCAGCTGAACAGGAAGCAGATGATGCAGGAGATCTCGACGAACACTAAAGTATTTTCAGTTCTTTTGTTCTGTAACTAAAATAATAAGAGTCTGCTCTATGTCAAGATGTTACAGTCAAGACGTGTGAATGTGTAGACAGATGACTACTCCTGCAAGACCAAGTTTCAGGATGTTCTTTTTATCTCTGATGTTTCATTAGTACTTCATGCAGTGTGTCTGTAAAGTCTTCCTGTTCAGGGATCACAACGATGAAGGAGGGACATGTAAACAAATAGCTGCTGTTTGGTCACACCTTCAACATTTCAAAGTCACTTTATGTGTTTCAGGAGCACAGAGTCATAGGAGTGTCCTGCTGCTCTAGTCCAGTGCAACATGATTGTAAGAGTGTGGTCAAAATGTAGTTATCAGATGTAGGGTAGTTGTTCATATGAAGAAGGCAAAGGGTGACACGAAGTACTTTGAAAGGTCTTAGAACACATCTGCCACTGTTTCAAGACAAACACATTCAATAAGTGACCTTTGTGTTGAGCTGAAACATCAAGTTATTTATAAATCTTGCACACTTCCACTTCTTCCTCTTTTGGGATAAAAAAGACTTGTGCTCCTTCTAACGCAAACCTCACAGGCAGTGATCTGCTCTTTATGCAAACTGACTCGTTCAAATATCAACATCATGCAGGGCTTTCTGACAGCTGTTTTTAACATGATGAGTGAATATATTTTCTTCTTTTAGTAGTTTATGGGACGTTAGCCCTCTGTACATAGACCTCACGAGTCACGACATAACTGCTAGGCTATCAGTGCTCCTTACAACAGATTATCATCAGCAAAAAACATCTGCAGGTTTTATTCCAACTGATCTGACTCCTGAAGTTACTCATTTTAAATCATCCTCAGTGAGTGTTTTGGTCAGATTGTGGCTGAAACAAAGAAAAGGGACTGTTTTGATATCTTTGTGATTCCTTTAAATTTTGATATCACCACCAAACCTCAACATTTCATAGCATTTATTAACTGCCTTTTTACAATGTAGAACATGAATTATTACTTGTTTTTTGTAGCAACAGAAACAAGCTCCAGGTGCTTCGTCCCTTAAAGTGACTGTTTCTAAACTTGAATGGTGCAAAAAAGAACTGAGACAAACAATCAGCCTCCTCCGAGGGCGCAGTGTAAATCAGATCCCTGTTGCAACTTGAATATTTATCAGGTCTTAGTCAATGTTTTATTTTGCACCAAAGGCCAACACCTTAAGTCACTTTGAAAAGCCAAAGCCCTTTTGAATCTTTAGTATGTATCTGCAGCTGCATTTGTCATTTAAACTTCAGAAAAACAAAACAAAAACAGATTATCAAAAGTCTTAAATAGCATCTATTTTTCCTACTGCAGGAACATTATTATTGGCAGGAGTATTCCAGAGTTTGTTGCACTTACAGGCATTTAATAATGTAAAAAATATATATATATTTATGAGGATTGTGTTTAGATTTTGTAAGGTAAACACTTTTTAGATGCTAGCATGCCAAAAAGAAGAATTGTATATTTTTGAGGTAAAGAAATTAAATATCTGTGTTCCACGAGGGAGGCATTTTAGTCGCCACAACAGCGTGACATATTTTCATAAAGGGAAGAAGACAACCTATTTAAATTATAAAAGATCATTCATGTATGTTCTGCTTCCAAAAAATGTATTGCAAAGTGAAAACATGCTACCCCCAGCTGTATTTCCCCCACAGTATTTATCTTCTATCTGCTGCTGTAGTTTCACTGTTGACCACTAGAGGGCATCATACAGCTACTATGAAAAAACTGTCAGTTCTTTATGGACTGCTGGTAAAGATGGTCGACACACTGACTGTTTAATGTTTCCTTTTTTTGAATCCCTTCATTAACATGAATCAGTTTGGTGTTTTTCTACCACACCTGCTTTAAATTAGTGAAACAGAAAAATCATGGAAACGATTGTTCAATCTCTCATCTCTCATCAACTGGAAAGAAATACTTCCTATGTTTTTCTATGATGTAGAAGTCTACTAACGCAGTTAATAATAATGTGCCATCTTTATAGACAGTCTATAAGGCAATTCCATGAATTGAATGTAAATAGTTTTTTTTATGTTTTTAGCTACTGAGGTTTCATTGGTAGAATGAGGATTGTTTGCTTTTCTCTTTTCTTTAAATTATGATCCTGTCTTGTATATATTGAGTTAGCATATTTAAGTCTTTGTAGATGGTTACTAATTTATGTTTGAGATCTGTTACAATGTGATCTGTTACAATGTGTCCCAAGTCCAAACTGAACACTATTTCTATTCAGTATGTTTTAAATACTGTTTTTCAACGATTTAGCAATAAAAACACGTCACCACTTTACAATAACATGTGCAACGCCAGGCTTCCAGAAAGTACTCTAACAGAGCGATGGATTCATCATGTTTGTTTTTAACACTTTTTAAATGTATTATTTCCCCCACATGAGCAGCTTCTGCAGCTTCTTTGTGACCTTTTCTTTGTCAAAAACACTCCAAATTAAACCCTTTTTAAAACGGCTGCAGACTTAATTGAGGTGACGTTTTTAGATTCTTGAACAAACTTTGCAGAAAACCTGTGCTGTATGGATTTGGGACTTGGAGAATAATGTGTGTGATCTAAAGTGTAACAGTGCTTGAAAACAACACTTTGGTAAATAAAGCACAAAGCGTGTTGTTGATTTGTTGCCATAGCTGAGATTATATCACGACTGAAGTGACACCACACCTACAGGTGCCTCGTGTTATCAAACTGTGACTAAGTACAGTGTCATATATCAGCATGAAGCTGTTGTCTGAAGGTTTCATGCTGCAGCTACAGTCGTGTTTGTTTGCACTGAAACTCTGAGAAATCAATTATCAGTATCTCAAGTGTTGTAGATTGTTTGAAAGACTGAATGTGCAAAATGTTTGTTAAAACATATTTCTTGCAGTGTATTACATTCCAAACAGCTAGATTTATTTTATGAATAAATCAAAATTGAGATCAAAAGAGGAAATGTGTCTTATTCATTTGCAATTGTTTGTTCTTTATTTGTGGCAATGTTGTTTCCTGAATGCTAAAACTTTTCAAGTTGAAGGACTTTTTGTTGTCGCTCTGGTCATCAAAGGGAGCACAGGTTTAAGACACTTGTGCAGCAAAGAAATATTTAAGCTACAAGCACTTCTTTTTTTATTATATTTTTTTGTCATCTAGAAGCATAAGTATGATTTCAACTCCCAACTAGATTTCTGAGTTTGATTTCTTTATGATTTAATATATAGTATCACTGTTCACTCTTCAGTATTGTTTACAACTTATTTGTAACTCTGACTGTAGCCGCCTGTTACGTCCGTGTTGAAAAACCCATGTCTAAGCTGCTATTGAATCCTGCGGACAAAGAAACGCCCCCGAGGTGAACGATGATAAATGTAACACTCAAGATTAAAGCTCGTTTCATAACACTCCTTATATGACACTTTAAAAAAGATCAAATAAAAGCCCTCGGTCTGCAGGATTCACAGCTCCCTGGAGTCACAGACGTCCCTTGGGATGTTGAGTTTAACAGTCCATGATGCCATTGTGTTGCACAGTTAAAGTTGAATTGCAGAAGTATCATATTTGTAAAATCATGAGAACAAAGACAATAAAATTATTAAGATTTATGGGTGCAATAATGCTTGGTTCTTGTGTTATGAAACCATGAGAAGGTTCTGTTTTGGGGAATTTAGCCTTGAATAGAAAGGTCATCTGTCATTGCTTAAAAGAAGAATTTGTCCATTGTGGACCTTTTCAGCTTCCTTAGAGATACTCATTTAAGAGTGTCTTACTATGTTGAGAGTAATTAATCAGTATTTATTTCGAGAGTTTCTTTTATTTTAAAGTCATTTTATGTTTTTAATTATTTTAGATGGGGATTGAGATATAAGGTCTTTATTTTTAGTGAGCCTTTCATTATCTTGGGAAACAAAGTTTTGATTTTTGGAAACAATTTGTAGCCTATAATACTACAGATAATTGAGAGACCATAAATGAATTACCACGATGTAAAGGTGGAGGAACCTTGAAATGTAATTCAATAATTCAAATTTAAATTCAAAATATTATTAATATGGATAAATAAGATTGTTTAAGCTTCTTTTTTTCTCAACAAAAACGAAAGCTAAGCATTAACATCATCATTAGACGTCATAGTGGTGTCTGCTCTAGTGATGTGTCGTCCATGAACGAACGAATCATCTGGGTGAACGAACTGAACTGAATCACTTCCTGAAAAGAGTCGTTCATTTCTCAAATTCAGTTGCGCTCTCCTCTCTCCCGTCTCGTATCTCTCTCTAGTAAGAGTCTCTCAAAGCCCGCCCTCCCTCTCCTTTCATGTCAGTGATACGTACTGACTGAACCAACAGGACGGAGTCGGTCGAGAGCTCTGTGTCTCTAAAGCCCGCCCCTACTTCTCCCTCTCATGTCTCCAAAATTGAGGAAGTAGAAAATATATTATTTAACATTTAGGTGTCGCGAAAATGTATGTGCTTTTCATATCTGCTGTCAGTTTACAAACAGCTTTTATATCCAACTTAATTTCACTCAGCTGACTGTGTTTCAGTCAGGACAGTGTGTGTGCGCGCGTGTGTGTGTGTGCGTGCGCGCGCGTGTGTGTGTGCGTGCGTGCGCGTGTGTGTGTGTGTGTGTGTGTGTGTGTGTGTGTGCGTGTGTGACTGAGGCTGGTGACTCGCAGTCTCGCTCCTTCACATTCAGTCAGTGTTTAACTGAACGAGAGCTCCGCCTCCTCTCTCTCTCAGTCAGTCAGTCAGTGATTTGTGTACTGAACGTAATGAACAGAACGGTCGGGGGAAATAAATGTGATTGTTTTAGCAGCTTTCAGTTTGTAAACTGTAACTTTATCCAACTAAATTCTCAGCTCATTGGTTTATTATTCACCACCGGCTGTTCTCAGTACGATCGCGAGCAGAACTAAACGTTCGGCCGTGTTTCAGTTTATTAAATTCTGATTCACAGACAGAGCTGCAGAGAAGTACTGAACGATTCAGTGAACGAATCATTTGAACGAATCACTTTACTGAACTGATTCTACTGATTCAGTACACTGAAAAGAACTGCTTTTCACATCACTAGTCTGCCTAGGTGTATCCGGAAATGGTTGGGTTAGGGTTACATTTAGGTTAAACTTAGTTTCGTTTTCAACGCTTGGGTTGGACGTCGTCGCTTCTTCGTGGTTTAGATACTATTTGTGAAATTAAAAGTTGTAAGATACTCAAAACATTCAATATTAGCGTTGACGCGACTTATTATTCTGTTTTAATTACGTGAAGAGAAGATGCAACAACTGCACATGTTGGTTTTTTCTCTCTTCCTGTTTTGGATTTCGCACCCAGTCAACGCGCGTGAGTTTAAATTACTTTATATGTCGTTTTTTTACGATTTGAATTTATATTTCAAATCTATATTGCAATCTTTAATAGTTATGTACAGTCAGAAATGAATAGGCAACCTTGTTATTTACTTATTTACGCATACAACACTTAATTTAAACTGCGTCTCTACACGACGATCCTAACACGTCTTGTTTCATTCAAATATATGTACAGCAGTAAAAGGTTAGCTATAATAGTATGAAGTTATTTCAAAAAGTTATTAATCATGTAAACCTCAAGGGAAGTACTTGAATATGTATTTAGAAAGATTCCAGCACTAAATGTTGATACCATTTTGGTTTTAGTCTATTGCGTAATAATAGTCCACGGTCATAATTTACACATTTCTCACTGTGTTGTATATTTCAGGATCAAGACAGAAAATTGGATTGGTATAAGACAGAACAGAATATAAAAGACATTGAAACGTGTAATTTAAAGATAACTTGTGTTTGACGTTGTCTTTTTTTGTTTTGCAGTTGAAACAGTGTATGGTGCAGAAGGTGATGACATTGTCCTCATGCCACCTCTTCAGTCTCCGTCTCCTCCCATCACAAGCATTCAATGGAAACATCGAAATGACATCGTTGCAGAGTGGTATGAAGTGTATGGAACTGAGACATATTGTCTTACCAAGTTCAAAGGTAATTTCACTTACACTAAATAAGTTTATCTACACCTGAAAACACAACAAGAACCTTAATCCAAGTGAAGGTTTTTAGGTTTGTTTTGTTTGAAGGTATTTATAATTAGACCCCTACTTTGTGCTGAATGAATGGATGACATTCTATAAAAAGGCTTTCATGGGCAGACCATTAGAATAAGAGGGGGAGATGCATCCATTTAAGTCCATTTTTTAAGTCCAGGTGCTGCTTTTGTTTGTTTCCACTTATCACTGGTGTACATTCATTATGTTTCAAATTATTTTTACTCAGCATGTTTAGCGACCCTAAAGTTTAGTTTTATTTAATGGTTTGATGATTATAGGTCGCTGCAAGCTGAATCATTTGACCGGGGCGCTGACAATCACAGGACTGACTAAAACCGACAGTGGAATCTGCAAACCTGAGATCAACAACAAATACCTCGACTCAACTCATCTCATCGTCATCTGTGGGTGACTGAACTTTAAATTAATTTTGGTCAGTAAAGAAGTTTTTAGATTTTCAGACTGAGAGCAACAAGGTCTGTTTTCTTTGTTCTTTGTTGTATCAGCTCGTGTCCCTAAACCCTCCGTCTCCAAATCATGTAACACTGAGATGACCGCCTGTAATCTGACCTGTGAAGGCAACACGATAGAATCAGAACCCGTCGACTGTAAGTGGCTTCTAGATGAAGCAGAGGGACCTTCAGGCAAGGTGTTGACCATAACAAAGGTATGAAAAACCAACAACACTCCAGTCAGCCTGAGCCGATGAGTGGGATCACTCCAAATCCATCATTCATGACCTTTTTTTAACTATTCAGTTTTATTTCAGGAAAATCTGTGTTCATGATTATCTTTCACTCAATTTCTAGGAGATGAAGGAGCAGAGTTACCGTTGTGTATTTGTCAACCCAGTCGGCAACAAAACCAGTGATATCATGACAAACCCCTTACTCAAAGGTGAGCTGCCACACCAACAAATATCAACCTCATTTACACCGTTTATATGGTTTTATAGCTTTTTTTAAACATCACTCTGCATTATCTAACAGCATACACATACATTTCATGTTTTATTTATTCATTCTTCTTTTTTTAGCAGAAAATGTCCACTTGGTAAATTGGCTAACAGCAGCAGCAGTGGCAGTAGGGGTTCTTGGGTTAATTGGGGTTGCAGCATATCTCATCTACAAACGCAGAACTGGTAAGAAGCCAGATTATATTGTGTGTATTTCAAATATTTTCAGTAATGTTGTATTTCTCTCGTCAGTTATGTGACATCCGTCTTTATTTAAGGAGTTCCAGTGGATTCTTTCTGCTTTCACTTCATAAAATAGGCGGGAAAACGCTTAACAAACATCTTTAGTAATGAATAATGATGGATTTATATTTGTTTATCTTGAATACAGGAACAGAGATAACCAACAAGATATTCAATCTGTTATCCACATGAATAATTCTATTTTCTTCTCAGCTGTGCTCTGTGAAATATAAATATATATATATCACATACAAACATAGTAGCAGTATACCAGTCTGTGAAGACAGTCGGAATGAGATTTGATCCAATACATGAGGAGATACAAGAAATAAGTCCAAGACGAGTCGACAGTGACACAAAATTCAAAGTCTCCTTTTTAGATCTTTTTATTCTTAGCTTTAAAAAAACATCATTTATACATCATTGTAAAATGCAGATGAACTATTTGTGGTTATTAACTGGTGAACTAGGTGATGGTGTTACTACAATACTTTTGACTTATAACAGGATTTCTTTGATGAATTGTTTGAACAGAAGTAAAGTGATATCATGTTCAATGATTCCTTTGTGTTTTATTTGATAGCGAGAGGTTCATATAAATCCGTATCCACCAAGGAAGAAGACAACAACGTTATAGGTGAGTCAAATGTGAAAGATATTAAAAACTGTGACAGTCGGATCTTTGAACATTTCTACTACTACAACCTGCATTTTGTGAGAGATGTTTTCTTACATTTATTTTGTATTTGTTGTTTCAGAGGTCCATGTACCACCAACCACTCAGGACTCAGATTCTCTCTGCAATGGATCTGGTGTGTAAACGTTGTTTAACAAAATGTATAAGGTTTTAAAACTGTTGTAGAAAGAGACGCATAGGAACAGAAAAGCTTTGTTTATCCTTTAAACTAGAGCTTTGAACTAGAGCTTTCTGTCACGGAGAAATTGTCTTTATCATTTATTTTATTTAAATTGTTTTTAACAGTGATCCCAGAGGAGCAAAGGGCATCCAACGAGCCTTCAGATTCTATTCCGCTCCAAAATGTCTGCAATGGAGCTGGTGAGTGAAATAATTCTATAAAGATAAAGATAAAGATAAACTTTATTGATCCCCCGTGGGGGAAATTTGTGCATTACAGCAGCTCCAGAAAACAGGGGACGGGAATATACTTATAAAAAATAAAAATAGAAGTTAAAAACAGATCAAACATATTTACATCATTTAAATAAAAAAATACAATAATGTAAAGAAATACAATAATGTACTATAGATAATACTGAATATAAGAACAGTACCTGAGTATATAGTTCAGGTACCTGAACTCTAGTATTTCCTCTAGAGGTTCTTGGGGTTGCAGCATATCTCATTGACAAACGCAGAACTGGTAAGAAACCAGATTATATTGTTTGTATTTCAAATATTTTCAGTAATGTTGTATTTCTCTCGTCAGTTATGTGACATCCGTCTTTATTTAAGGAGTTCCAGTGGATTCTTTCTGCTTTCACTTCATAAAATAGGCGGGAAAACGCTTAACAAACATCTTTAGTAATGAATAATGATGGATTTATATTTGTTTATCTTGAATACAGGAACAGAGATAACCAACAAGATATTCAATCTGTTATCCACATGAATCATTTTATTTTCTTCTCAGCTGTGCTCTGTGAAATATAAATATATATATATATCACATACAAACATAGTAGCAGTATACCAGTCTGTGAAGACAGTCGGAATGAGATTTGATCCAATACATGAGGAGATACAAGAAATAAGTCCAAGACGAGTCGACAGTGACACAAAATTCAAAGTCTCCTTTTTAGATCTTTTTATTCTTAGCTTTAAAAAAACATCATTTATACATCATTGTAAAATGCAGATGAACTATTTGTGGTTATTAACTGGTGAACTAGGTGATGGTGTTACTACAATACTTTTGACTTATAACAGGATTTCTTTGATGAATTGTTTGAACAGAAGTAAAGTGATATCATGTTCAATGATTCCTTTGTGTTTTATTTGATAGCGAGAGGTTCATATGGATTCGTACCCACCAAGGAAGAAGACAACAACGTTATAGGTGAGTCAAATGTGAAAGATATTAAAAACTGTGACAGTCGGATCTTTGAACATTTCTACTACTACAACCTGCATTTTGTGAGAGATGTTTTCTTACATTTATTTTGTATTTGTTGTTTCAGAGGTCCATGTACCACCAACCACTCAGGACTCAGATTCTCTCTGCAATGGATCTGGTGTGTAAACGTTGTTTAACAAAATGTATAAGGTTTTAAAACTGTTGTAGAAAGAGACGCATAGGAACAGAAAAGCTTTGTTTATCCTTTAAACTAGAGCTTTGAACTAGAGCTTTCTGTCACGGAGAAATTGTCTTTATCATTTATTTTATTTAAATTGTTTTTAACAGTGATCCCAGAGGAGCAAAGGGCATCCAACGAGCCTTCAGATTCTATTCCGCTCCAAAATGTCTGCAATGGAGCTGGTGAGTGAAATAATACTATAGATAATACTGAATATAAGAACAGTACCTCAGTATATATTTCAGGTACCTGAACTCTAGTATTTCCTCTAGAGCTACAGTTACTCCTCACACGTATTTGATTGTTGTCTCAACTCAAAGGAAAGGCATCAGAGATTTCATCCAACAATGACCTGACGACTTCTACATCCCCAGAGGCCGGCAAGGAAGCTGGTGTGTTAAACTGTATTTTAACTTATAGGATCAAACGAGTCAAACCATTTCTCCCTTAAAATTCAAATACTTCTATGTATCAATGAACAGAGATCACATCTGATGTGGGTGAGAAGTCTGACGAGAACTCAACGACTCCTGCTTCCCCCCGCCAGCAGCCAGGAAACAGGCGAGTCCAATTTAAACACACTCCATGTCCGATCAACATACTATTTTTTTCTTACTCTTATCTTAGGGTATATTTTAAGATTATGTTTGTATTCATATCAAATGTGTTCCCCACTTAATTAATTTAGTTTTTGCAACAAACAACTTGATTCCATTTTTATAGGACTTCAGCACAGAAACAGCATCAGCAGCTTTACATTCACATTTTTCAAAATGAAGCCAAGAGCAAGGTGTATTTACTCTTGCACACACAGCAAATTTATGAATAAATGAAAAATGACATAGATTTTTAGTATTATAATATATAATTATGTGTAATTATAATAATTACTTGGGCGGCCCGCCTAAGTCTGTCTTCATCTTGCTTATAATAGTTGTAAATACATAGTACTTTTATCTTTATTTGTATTTATTCCTATATATTTTTATTTTCCTGTTGTCATTTACTGCTGCAGCACTTGAATTTCCCCACTGGGGATCAATAAAGGATTATATTATCTTATCATGTATGTGTAGGAAACACTGAGTTTAACACTATGTCGTACATAACCCCTAAAATAAGCTTTATTTGATCTATAATCAATAAAATAGAATAAAAACAACCCTGTGTCTCTATCATCTGATAATCCTACGTTACAGTATTATTTGTCTGTTTGTATTTACATACATCACTAGAAAGCTGGATTTATTTAATAGCTGTGTTGGAGTTCCATGTTGGATACATTTGGCACATTTAAATAAGAACTAACTAACATCGGGCATTTAGGTTTTTATTTGGTGTGATCTCTATTTAGTTTAAAGCACAAACGAGAGATGTATGAAAAGAGAAAGAGACCAGTGTTTACTGCATCTGTTCAGTTTTTTTATTGAGGTTAGAAGAAAAAAATCAGACTGTTCTGCCTTTAGATGTGATTTTTTTTTTTTTTCATCCTTTGACAGGTGACCTGGCAACGAAGCCACCCGACCAAGAACAAACCAACCAAGAGCCACCAGCAGCTGAACAGGAAGCAGATGATGCAGGAGATCTCGACGAACACTAAAGTATTTTCAGTTCTTTTGTTCTGTAACTAAAATAATAAGAGTCTGCTCTATGTCAAGATGTTACAGTCAAGACGTGTGAATGTGTAGACAGATGACTACTTCTGCAAGACCAAGTTTCAGGATGTTCTTTTTATCTCTGATGTTTCATTAGTACTTCATGCAGTGTGTCTGTAAAGTCTTCCTGTTCAGGGATCACAACGATGAAGGAGGGACATGTAAACAAATAGCTGCTGTTTGGTCACACCTTCAACATTTCAAAGTCACTTTATGTGTTTCAGGAGCACAGAGTCATAGGAGTGTCCTGCTGCTCTAGTCCAGTGCAACATGATTGTAAGAGTGTGGTCAAAATGTAGTTATCAGATGTAGGGTAGTTGTTCATATGAAGAAGGCAAAGGGTGACACGAAGTACTTTGAAAGGTCTTAGAACACATCTGCCACTGTTTCAAGACAAACACATTCAATAAGTGACCTTTGTGTTGAGCTGAAACATCAAGTTATTTATAAATCTTGCACACTTCCACTTCTTCCTCTTTTGGGATAAAAAAGACTTGTGCTCCTTCTAACGCAAACCTCACAGGCAGTGATCTGCTCTTTATGCAAACTGACTCGTTCAAATATCAACATCATGCAGGGCTTTCTGACAGCTGTTTTTAACATGATGAGTGAATATATTTTCTTCTTTTAGTAGTTTATGGGACGTTAGCCCTCTGTACATAGACCTCACGAGTCACGACATAACTGCTAGGCTATCAGTGCTCCTTACAACAGATTATCATCAGCAAAAAACATCTGCAGGTTTTATTCCAACTGATCTGACTCCTGAAGTTACTCATTTTACTAATTTTACCCAGAATCCTCTTCACTCTCATATTGTGCTTTCAGACTAAAATGACAGGCGAGTGTTGCACCACTCGTTCACAGGTCGCAGCATAAGTGGTACCTTTCAAGACGACTCTTCCTGAGCCCTGACAGCCGAGAGCGAGGGGAGAGGACGGATGGAATTTAGATTTGAAGAGTTAGACAAGGGGAAAGGCAACAACACATGCCCCCCGAGAAGACAGCCGAGGGCGTAAAGTGGGGCTTATCTTTACGTGTGCACACAGGATCAGACTTCCACAGGGAGAGATGTGTCAAAGGGGTTTTTCTATTGAGGAGGGCATGTTCTGACAAACCCTTTAATGCTGACACTCATTTTCCTCCTCATAAGAAAACAAAGCGCTTATTTACCAGGAATCCTTTTGAATAAAACCCATCTTTTGGTTGATTTCTTGCAGAAAGATTCACAGCCTGAAAGGCGGTGTGGATATGCCGTGGGTATTTATGGGGCATCTGTCATCATGAGAAGCCTTTCTCCCTTTAAGGAATGCAGGTTTCAGACAGGTGCCACACTGCAGGCCGACATGTCTGAACAGAGGCAGTGAAACACATGGAAAACCTACATTAGCCTGCTGATTTTCCTCACGATCACAGCTCTGAACACTGATAAGGTCTCAGATGTGGGGAAGCTTCTGTAGTTGCCACACAAGGTTAATTAGTGGCTGTTTGCAGGGGCTGATTTGAACTTTCGAGGGACTATGGACGGGGGGCTTGCAGCATCATTTTCACACTTTTTATCCAGACAGAAACTGTGGGTTTCCTTTCTTTCTCTTATGTTGTTATTAATTACAGAAAAAGAAGACGCCAAAAAAAGTCTGAAAAAATTGAAACGAAGAGGAAGGAAGCATTTCTAACAACAAAAATAAATAGTAAGAGAAAAAAAAAACGTTTTTGAGATGAAGATATTATATCTGCTGTTTGTAAGAGTCTCCTAAAAAGCTTTTAGCAAAACATGTTGACTGATACAAAAGCAACATAGTCAAGTTTGCTTTGCATATTTCAAGTGAGTCTGCACAACAGATGACCAAACTTTTTTTTTTTGCATATTTGCACTTCGAGAAGATGGATGCCAGTGCCAGTTATCTGCGAATGAACTTCAGGGGGCTTTATGATCCCTTGCTGGAAATGCTGTATCGCCCTAACTGTCCAACGATAGGCTGAGAGCTGGAGCTGAGGCAGGTTTTTAAGCCTCTTCACAAACCGTTGTCAATCAGGTCAGCTACATGCCTTGTTGTGAGTTATTCAACCCCGTACAGTGTGTGCCTATCACTGATAATCAGACACACAAGATAATCACACCTATTTCCTTTTTTTGAACCAGATTGTTGACATGTTCATTTATGCTATTAAAAAAATGGCCTATTTGATTGAGTGTGTGTGTGTGTCTTGTACAGCCAGCCTCTAGTGGACACTCGAAGAACTGCAGGATTTTACACTTCCGCATTGGCATCCTCATTTTTCAACACTGGAAGTTGCCACTTGGGTAGCTCTAGCTTTGGCAGCTACCATAGACTGTAAATGCTGCCAATGTTGCCATGGCTACTGCTACTAGCTACAATAAATGAGAATAGCAGAGGGGTGGCAGATGTGTAAAGTTCACAGATAAAATGTTGGATCCTGTCTGAGTTAGAATATGTTTTTTGTAAATGTATGGTTTTTGTTTGGGTTTATGGAGTTGAATAAGTGCACATGAGAAAATGATTTTTATCCTTCCTTTTTTGATCATTTTATTACCTGATATACCAAAACAGATAATGAAAATAGGCTATATAATTTTTTTTATAAAAAGTGAAATTTGCAAAAGTGGCTTTTAGAGTCTAATAAAAAAAAAGGCAACATCTGAACATAAATAAATATATGATAAAAAATGTAATTGGTAATGTAGGTTTGTGAGTGTGCGTGATATATTTGTTTTACTGCCCATTTAACATTTTTATGTATCTTTTTTTTTATTACTTCTGCACGAAAATATTTCATAGGCTTTTAATGAAAAAAAAAACGGCATTACAATATTATTTAAATGTCTGCTAAGTAGTCAATAACGCTACTCAGACTTTAACACAGAGTAAAACTTTTACTGTGACAATACTGTGCCGGATGTGACGTCATCCACTCGCCCTCGACGTGCCCCTCGCAGCGCGCCTCCACACTGCTGCTGATGGTAAAGGTGCTCACAACCTCCACAGGTAGACGGCAGGTCGGTGAATCTGATTTTTTTTTTTTTTTCCCCACCAGCAGCTGAAAGATGAAAACTCCAGGAAAGAAACTCTAAAAGGATTTTATTTCATTTTTTTTCTTCGTCAAAATCATAAAAAAAAAAAAAAAAGAAATCAGCTGGAGGATGCGTCCAGGCGACAGGTGGTCGACATTGAAGCTGAAGAGCTGCGTCCTGCTGTTGTTGGTGGTCTCACAGACAAAATCACAGCGAAGAGGTAGGCTTAATGCATGCTAATATTTATATTTTATACTGCCATTGTTAGTGTGTTCAAATTGTTTTTAACGCAATTTAACTGCAAATAACTAATAATTATTACAGAAGTGATGTCGAAAAAAAAGCAGAAAATACCGTAAAACCATGCAAAAATGCTATTAATGTCTTTAAACTGCGTGATACGTTTTGTAATGTGAATTTTGATTGAACACTTTAATGACCTCAAGAAACAGGATTGCTTTTAAGTATAATTTAAACTTGATTTCCTGCCCTCTCTGAATAAATCGACACATGATCTCAGAGCTCGAGTCAGCTTCAGGTCGGAATGAGGTTGTGGTTGGAATTAATGTCTGGACTTGTCTATTAGGAATTATGAATAGCTGTCAGAGCTTATACTGTACTTCAGCTTTACAGTCTGCAGTTATGTTTGGATGTTAATCCTGCATTTATCAAATCATGCTCTGACCTGTTCTTCAGTTAAAGCAAAAAGTGATAGCCATGGTGTCAGATTGTTTTTGATTATTTCAAATTAATTGACAAGTAGAGATTCCCCCCTCTCCTTTGGCACATCACTTTTATATCATTTTTTTTTTGATCATCTTGCATCTGTTTGTGCTGACTCTGCATCCTTCATCCTTTTGTGTTAATTTTGCATTTTTCTGTGGTTTGTTTGACATCTCTTTTAGTGGGTTTTTGTAACCATTTTGCTTCTTTGCTTGTCGTTTATCTGTTGGTAAGTGTGTGTGTGTCTTTGTTGTGACAGAGGTCTGGCTCGATGGCTTCCTGCCTTAGAGCTTTTTGTTCAGTAATCCATCCATGATTTTGTACACATGTGCCTGCTTGTGTTTAAATACAAAGTTGGAAGATCATTGCTTCTTAAAGTTTGGTATTTAGGATTAGAGCTAATCAAGCCCATGTGTTATGTTGCTTATGCAGGTGCTTGTCAGTGTGTGTGTGTGTGTGTGTGTGTGTGTGTGTGCAAAGTGGTAATTTGTGGTTTGCTCAGATTTTCCCTTCTTCAGGGCTTGTTGGTTCCCTTCCATACAGACGCTCTTCATCCATACCGCCTCAATTTAACTGGCTGTGGTTTGATTTTTCTGCTGACTGCATACACACACACACACGCACACGCACACACACACACACGCACACGCACACACACTCACACTCTATACAAAACACGCAGACATGATGACATTCAGGCATGCCCACATATACATGTAGAGACAGAGGTGCAGAAAGGATTCAAGTAAACGTGCACACGATTTCCGGCTGCTAAAAGACTCTCATCAGCAGCTTTAGTCGCTGCAACTCTCTGTTGTTTTTGCTTTTGTTTTGTGCACTTTGAAGTAACCTACCAAAAAAAGATGAAAGAGCAGAAGAGGAACATCTTTCTGCAGTTATTAGACCAACATAGCAACAAGATTTCAGTCTGAGTATTTTAGGATTTAAGGATTTATCATCCTGCCCTTCATGTGGTCTTAGAGAGCAAAATCTGTCGTCCAAATGGCAGAAATGACAAATAGTTTACGCACACCTTTTTCTGCTTCAGAAAGTCAGAAAACAATGCATCAGCATCAGGCATCTTGCATTTTGAGACAGACATAAAACTGCTGTGCTGACTGGAAAATATTTTACTCTGCTGTTTCACATTAACTTCAGCTGCACAATTAGAACATTTTACTATAGTTTTTATTGACTCCACACAAAGTTTAATTGTGCAAGGTACCAAACCGTTTCTGTTTGTTACGAAAGCACATTCATAGCGCAAATTAAAGTGTTTCAAATGAACTCTTTCCATCCATGTTTCTCTCAATTACTGTTCATTTCTATCTGCATTTGTTAAAAATGTTTAACAATTCTTAGAATATAGATTTTTTTTTTTTGCATTATCAATAAGAAGTTTTGCATCATTACACTCTGAAAGTTTGAAAGGGCTTATGGGAAATGTAGGACATTCGTCAATAGTGAATAAAGGGTGAATCAGGTTGCGGAATAGCAAGCCGACCATATAAGGAGATTCCTGTCAAACACTGAGCATCATTAAGAGATCATTTACAACCTTAAAGTGACAGAGGAAGTTAATGTGGACCTGCCCCCCACGAGCTATTCATCTGAATTAACATGGTCTGCATGAACAGATATTTATAACGCTCTGTGTTGACACAACATGTCAGCAGTCTGAAGGTATGCAGTAACACACGCAGGAGTCATTTCTCCTGGGTGGCCTAAAGCCGCGTTTCCCTGATATATGAAGCTCTATGTTATCAAAGCAGACAACAAAAGAGGCAGATAATAACAGTGTAAATTAGTAGCTGGGTGTTGTAGATACAGGATGTAAAGGGGAAAATAAAACAAGGGGTCTTTAGCTGACAATTACATCAGAAGGAAACATTCAGAGCGGTTATCAATCAGCCTTTTATGGTCTTTTTCCAGCGTGCACGCCGCCTTCAGCCTGTCTCAACGTGACTGCTGTTTCTGCAAAGACAAATATCTGTGTTGCATTTTATGAGGGAACTGTTGACACTTTAAGACCAATAAATGTGACACTTTTTTTTGACTTTGATGGTCAGTTTGAAATTTCACTTGTGTCTGTAAAGTTTTATTGCGGCTGCAGGCGAAGTGAAACAAAACGGCTGTTAAAACACTTTGGCACGTTTATATGCATGAATTAGTTTAACCTTCCCAGAATGTTTAGTACACATTTTAAAGGACACTATAAAAGAGCGATTCATAATTTGGTTGATTGTAGGAAGGTTTAAGGGTTTAGTGTTAGGGGATTTATTAGACATGAGTGGATAGAGCAGGAGAGCGGGGTTAGACAGTGAGGAGTGACTTGCCATAAAGGAGCCATAGGTCGCTCCCGAACCCGGCCACCCGCCTGATGGTCCGCAGCCTCTGTGCATGGGGCGCAATCCCAACTGCTAAACCATCTGCTCCCTGATTCAGACATCCCAACATCCAGAATAAACGTATTCAAACGTGACTTAACTTTTCTCTGCTTGACAAATCCAGACTTAATTTATCAGGACTACATGCTCTGGACTTTGAATGGACTGGACTCTTTCTGTCTTGTTTTGACTTGTACTGAAATATGTTTTTGTTAAGCTTTACGTGCATCAACAGCTGGGATTGGCTCCAGCCCCCCCCCCCCCCCCCCTCCCCCCGTACAGAAAAAGCAGTGTAGATAATGTAAAGTTGGATTTGATGCATCAACTGAATTTTGATCCTTTAACAAAAAGTGAACAAAAGCTGTTAAACTGCTTAGCTCCTAAACGTCATCAGGACATGCTAGTCGGCATTTTATAGACTTTTATCTTACGTCTTGCCGAGGATTATCCAACGAGAGGCT